ACTGGCTTTCAATCGAGTGGCTTTCAATCAATTTGCTTGCAACCGCTTGGATTGCAGTCGAATGGAGTTGTACTGCAATCGTTTGGATTGCAGCCGACTGGGTTGCAATTTAGAAATGGATCGATTGAATTGAAATTCGTTGAACTGCAATCGATCGGACTGCAATCGACTGAGCTCCAACTAACTATATAGAAGGAAGAAGAAGAACAACAAAATAATTAACATAATGAAGATGAGGAGGACGCCGCTCCCGGGGGGTCAAGCATATGTATGTATTTCCGTGTATATATATACATATATATATGTATATATATATATGTGTATATATGTATATATGTATATGTGTATATATATATATGTATATGTGTGTATATATATACACATTCCGACTCGTATATCTTTATGGGGCCAAGGACGCCAGACCCCCTCCCCCTTAACGAATTTGGCTCTCCCTGGACCTCCAAGCAACCCTTCAGACGACCTGGCAGAGCCTCAGGAGAGCCCGAAGACGGCCCCAGACGGGTTCCAAGCGTTCCGGCGCGCTCCCGAAATGACCCTGGAGAACCCCAATACGGTCCACGACGACCCCCAAGAAGCCGTCATACCCAAAAGGATCGCTCCAAAACGTGCCAAGAGGCCTCCAAGGGCACTCCCAAGAGGCCCCCAAAAGCACACATCATTGATTTTCTTTGGGTTTTTTGTGAATTTGGGGTTCTCCTCTTTTCGGCTTTCCGACGCTCTTCTGGGCGTCCAAAGCCGCCTGGGAGGCTCCAAAATCGCCCCAGAACCATCCGAAAGGGCTTTCAGGCAGTCCAAGAGAGCCCCAAAGTGGCACGGCAGGGGTCCAAGATGGCCCCAAGAGAGCCCCATGGCGGCCCAAGATGGCTCCAAGACAGCCTCCGAAGCATTCCAAATTGTGACCTGGTCGTTCAGGGAAACCGCGGTTGGAGGCAAGGTGGCCCGAGGAAGCCCCCAGAGGCTCCGAGAACACGCCCAGGAGGCCTCCTCAAGACAGCCTGAAAAACCCTTGCGAGGCCTCCAAAAGCTCTCCAAGGAGGAACCTCCGCAAAAAGAGCTGAGGAGGATGGGGAGAATGTGCAGGGTTGGCGAGAATGAAGAAACAAAAGCATGGAGGAAAGATAACGAATAACGTTGTTATAACGGCGATGCTGGAGAATGCAACAAGGAATTATCGCTATTTTGTCGGCTTGATCTCCCTGCCATTCCGCCTGCACACTAAACTTCAAGGACCAAGGTGGATGGCGCGAAATGTCACTGCAGTCTTGTATACACATATATGTGTATCTATGTATGTATGTATACATATATATACATATACATATATATATATGTATATATATGTCTGTGCATATGTAGAGCATGTGTAGATAAACATATTTATATATAACTTTGTACACTTCTTCATACCATATGTATGTGCATGGCACAGCTGTATAGTTTTAATATATTTATATTTATAGGTATATCCACATTTAGTACATATGCAGAAAAAGGGTTGTAGGCACACGTCCACTAGGTAACACACTTCGCACGCGGACGATATTCCGAAATCGGGCACGCAAATCACATCCAAACGAATCGTGCCCACTTCATGAAACAGAGATTATGTGGCGCCCGTGGTGGTTCGATGTAGATCCAAGATTCATGTGATCACATGTGGAATTGGCATCCGAAGAGTCTTCGGGCTCCCATTCTTTGGAATGTTCGGGTGTATGGAATGTGGCGCGCGCGCGTTGTTGGTCAAGGAAATATGTTGTGACTACATGGCTCCAATCCGATCAACGCAATATGTGCGTCCGATTGCCGTAAATAATTCCGGCAGCGGTCCCAATAAGCACGCGGCGAAACCCCACTTTCGCGCAAATTCTTCTACTGCTTCCGCGTGCGGGCATCTCGAAGTCTTTGCGCTCCAGGACAAGCCCCCTCGCCGTCGCCGTCCTCACCTTTCGTTGTCCTCCTTCTTCCACCCCCTGTTTCGCTCCGACTCCTTCCTGTGTTCTCCCCCATTTGCCTCGCTCTCCTGCATCTGCATATTTTTCGCTCTTTCCCCATACGCGTATTTTGACATTGCCTGCAAGACGCGCATGTAACTAAGCAACGATCGGAAACGGCCCGCGCATCCGGTTCCATGTCATAGCCGTCACGTGGGAAAGTCCGGGAGAAATGAGTAATCATCACATGCACATTTGTCAAATCACGGCCGAATCAATCTTTTTCCCGCGGTTGGAACCGACTCTACTTAATATTTACCTCAGCTTCCATCAAGTGGGTGGGACGTGCGCATCTGTTTCTGTTAAAAACCCACCCGCGCTCAATTCTCTTTTTGGGCTTCGCTCCCTGCCAGAACATGCAATCCAAATCTGGGAGCCAACGGAACGGAACCTTCTTGGAAGTCGTGACGCGATAGTGGGCGTTGACGCAACATGGGTGTGAAATGCACGCCCCATCCACGACATTGGCTGAGAAACGTAATCTGCTCGCGGTCAACACTTGCGGTTACTGTCCCGTCATCAGGTTCTTTCGCTCAGGGCGTCAATGGTCGCACAACAAATAAACTACACATGAAGACATCGCTATGGCTGCTGACGATGCGGTCCAATCATTTCTGCATTGCGCGAAATGAAAGCCCAAACATCTGCTGCAAACGTGCATCTTGCACCAAGAATTCGCCACCCCTTGTGAGGGCGCCCGCCAGGCGGCACCGCGCAGAATTCGGCGCCACTCTCGCTCGTTTCGTGTCCCATGGGGAGCTCCACCCGAGGCACCAGCGGGGGCGCCCGCACGTCGGCGCCGCGCAGAATTCGACACACCCCTCACGCAGCTCGTGCCCCGTAAGGTGCTGCGGCTCCAATGAGGGCGCCCGCGCGGCACCACGCCCCCTCGGACGTAGCCTTCACATCTTCGTGCCCCATGGATAGCCCCACTTCCGGCCTCAGCGGCAGCGTTCAGATGCCGGCTCCGCGCCCAATTCGGCTATGAAGAGTCTGTTTGGCCCTCTGGAAAAGCCTGGGCCCTCTAGGGAGCCTCTTGGGTGCCTCTTGGGGGTGTCTTGGGCGCACCCTGGGGGCATCTTAAACCTCTTGGGGGCGTCTTGGGGGCATCTTCCGTCTTCAATGACCCATCCTTCGTCCCGCCGTTCGTGTTTTTCACTTCCTTTGATGACCGTTCAGCTCTTCTGGTCTTTTGATCAACTGCTCTTGACGTGTTCCATGAACCAGAGAACAGCCTCCGTGCTAGTGTACTCTCCTACTTGTTTCTCTCGTCTTCCATATTTTCCTCTCTTCCACTGCATCTGCTTGCCATCACACGCAACAAGCAATTTACATTCGGCACGGCTGGGGTCCTCTACGAGGTTTCCACGGCGAACGGTTGCAAGCTGGATGGTGGCGATGAACTTCGCTGTGTGCTTAGCCACATCCTGCGGTCAAGCATGGAATCTAAAGGTCGAGGAGGCTCAACATGCGTGCGAAGAGAGGCCCAGTTGAGAAACTAATGGCAAGAGAACGAATCAGCAATTCCACAGCGTTCCCCAATCACCAGGCGCGATGAATATGGCCACTCGCCGCATGGAGAGGGAAGGAACGAAGTGCCACTCACAACAACTAAACCAACGAAGTAAAACACATGACACCGTTGATCTGACTTACTCGAAGGGACACCGTCACACCTGTACACGCAACCGTGCAATTGGAACAGCTGCGTTTTCCACGGAGGATGCCTCGGATTGGAAAGCAAATTTCGGTATCATAGACGTGATGCGCCAGTTCGACCACCAGCGACAAGTCAGCCCAGGAGACGCCGTTCGCCCTGAAGGCCCACAACATAAACAATGATGACGGCGGTGCCCTCGACCGTCGCAGGACTCTCTTGGGGTCCTCTTGGGCCGTCTTGAAGGTCCTCGTGGCTGGCTAAGTAGTGCAATCTCGTTCAGCAGCGCATGGTTCCCGAGAGAGGCAAAAACGCGCGCCACCGCCAGATCACTGGACTCCCCCCTCCACGACAGACCTAAGAAACGCAATTGGACCTCAAGATGCCTCCGAGAAGCCTCCAGAGGCTCCGTAGAGGCATCAAATAGGCTCCCACAGAGACCCCTGAGAAGCTGAAAGATGCCTCTGGACCACGACCAAGGCACAGTGGCGAGATGGGCCGAAGGGCCACTAGATATGATCACCAGGGATCGCCACAAGTATTTGTGAACATCTGGACCCTCTGGGGGGAAACGGCGATCCCAGGGTCAACTAAAGGCAGGGAGGCCAAGTCGCAGGGCGCGGATGCAATAATGCACCGCTGTTGCTCGCCCTCCCGGGGGCCAGGAGGCCCCAGAGCGGTCAAGAATACCTGCGCACGCTCACAGAGCATAACAAAGCGAGGCTTACTTTGTCGACGCTGATCGCCCTTCTGCCTGCCATGGTCCGCACGGTTCCATCGGAATCCCTGGATGCCTGGGAGGGTGCCGGGAGCAGATGGGACGGCAGAGCCCGCTCCAACGACTGTGGCCGAAGTCGTGCCGGCCTGAAGCCCCAAGAACTGCCCCAGATTGACAAACGTCCGAATCCGCGACGCCATGAAGAATCATACAGTCGGGGCTCACGTTTTATCTTCGACACCATCATTGTGCGGGGCTTTCCGCGCTGCGTCGATCCACGTGTTTCGTCGCCCACAGCAAGTCTCCTGACGCCAACCCTGAGAATCATAGGCGCCTCGAAATGCCCTGCTTGCCTGAATGGCTCTTGCAATATGTACCTAGACACTCTCTCACCATGGTCCAATGCCCCTCTCTTGCTCGGCCCGTGCGCCTCCCGTTGCCAGGAACCTTACTGCAATTATATCCTCGCGCGACTGCAGCACAGCACGTTGCCAGCGGCAATGCGTACCCGAGCGCGGCCAGCGCACATCGCACGTGGTGTTGTTGGAGAGAAGCGATACCAAAACTCACCGCTCGCTCTCCGTGGACGCCGCGTTGCAACCGGTCTAACCAGTCAACCCCACCAACCCTTTTGGGCTGAGGTGGTCAAACTTCCAAAACACCTCTCTCCTTCCGCAAGGTTTACCTCCCCCCGCCTACCCCAAGCTTTTCCAAGCGGGCAGCGAATCGTTAGAGCGTGGCCCAAGCTGGCTCCAAGAGGGCTCCCGATGCTTCAAAAGGGCTCAATATAGCAAACGATGCTTAAGATAGCCTCCGACATGATTCCCAGAGGCCCGACGAGGGCCACACGACGACTCCAAGTGCTCTCTCGGAGACCCTTCAGGAACCTCGCAAAAGGCTCAAATTCTTCAAACAAGAATTACTGATTTTCCACTCTTCGCCTTTTCGCGTCCGACGCGTTTTTGAAGCCTGAAAACGGCCCGAAGATGGCCCAAGAGAGGTCCAGGATGGGCCCAACAGGCCCCCAGACGGCCCCAAGAGAGCCCAAGAGCGACCCAACATCGCCTCAAGAGGGCCCCAAGAGGCGATTTTGATGGCCCCAGGGGGGGAGGAACATTGCCCCCCTTTTGATCGATGGCCTCCCAGATGGCCCCAAGAGGCCCTCCAGGGCTCCCAAGGGGCCCCCAAGAGGGCTCGAATAGGGCCCCAAGGCTCCCCGAAAGAGCTCCAAGAGGACTCCAAGACCCCCCAAAAGAGTTCCAAGAAAGCTCCAAGAGAAGATTTTGAAAGCTCTGTCCTCATCGTCGTTGTCCTCCTCCTCCTCGTCCTCGTCCTCGTTTGTTCCCTTATTCTCCCCCTTTTCCGTTTCTTCTTTCTCGTCGTGGTGGTCGTCGTCACCGTCTTTTTCTTTTTCTTCCTCCTGCAACTTCTGTCGCTCCCACGCGGACCAGAAAAGGCACTCCAAGACAACCGCCTAGCTCCCAAAGATCTCTCTGTTCCCCCTGGTTGCCCGCATTGTTTCACAATACATGTGTCCCTTCGTCCCTTCCTTGTCAGCTTTCATGGGCAAGGCTCCTTTCCTGTCAGCTTCCCTTTGTTTCAACACATATGTCACATATGTATCTTCGTCCCTTTACCCGTCAGCTGTCACGGGCAGGGTTTCTGGATGGGCTGGTGGGGGTACTTTTTTGGTACGCGGGCGCGCGAAGCGGGTCGAACGCCTGGCGAGCAGGGGCAGGCTGTGCCACCAGCTAAGGCTGGTGGGGATACTTTTTTGCTCGCAACCGCAAGCGGGCAACCGCGCGGCGTCAACGGTCGAAAGAAACCAGGCCTACGTGCAGGGCGATAGCCTAAACTACAGCTGGCAAGCGTGGGAAAAAGCAGAGCAGGCAGAGCGCGGGCGGCGGGCGAGCAATGAAGAAGAACGGGCGACGAACGCGGCACAGCTCAGAAGCCAACGACCGCGCCCAAGCTCACCAAGAACCCGTCGTCCTCGGAGTACGTGCGCAACAACGTGTAACCGCATGCGGCCTGCGAGTCGGCGTCAAACAGATACCGTGAACCGAAAGGCATGAGCCCGCCGCGTCGACGAGCGTGGAATAAACGCGTCTACGACCCTGCGTCCCAATATCCCAACTGCCAGAACGAGTCGACGAAAGGGGCATGGCCAGGAAGGGCACGAAAGCTCCTGTCGCGAGAGCAGACCAGGAGTATCGAAAGCTGCCAACCCAGCCAGTCCATCAGGGCCGCCGCGGGACAGCCGACGTAGAACGAACGACCCACAAGCCCGCGCGCCCCGGGGGGAGCACGGAGGGCCTGGGGCGTGCCGTAGAGGGGGGGCGACTAACAGCCGCAGAAAATTGTGTTGAGCGAAAGGGGTCGCAACTAACAGCCGCGGGGAATGGGTGCACTATGGCGAGTGGCGTCCCGGCTAACAGCCTCGGAGCACATGCAAAGAACCGGGGTGCCTATAGTCGGCTTGCCTCGACGCCCTGGGGGGAGCATCGGCACGTCGTCGAGGCAGTCATGTGTGAGTTGGCGCCCCTGGTGGACGCGGTGAGGGCAGCCACACTGAGAGGGGGGGCGGCAAACAGCCGCGAAGATAGTAAGAAAACGATCGGGCCTGAACATCTCGGCGGGGGTGCACGATGAGATCGCTGTGCAGGCCCTGGCCCCCCCCGTGGGGGAGCACCAAGGGCGCGGGCAGAGTGTGAGTGGCGCCTGCGGCAAATACCCGCGGGTAGTGGAGACATGGTGGAGAGAGCCACACGAGGAAGGTGCGAAAAGCAAGGGGGGGGGGGGGGGGCTGGTGGGGATATTTTTTGATGGCGACCGCAGGCGGGCACCCGCGCGGCGTCAAAGCTGGCGGGGATACGCGAAGCGAAGCGTGAAGAATTTACTCCAAGCGCTGGCGCGCGCGATCGGTACACATCAATTTGCAAGCGTCGTTGTCAAGCCCAAGCGCGTCCCCGCTCGAAGCCATTGCACTGTCGCGTTGCCGCCATTGTTGCTAAGAAGCGTGTACCTGCTCGCTTAAGGCGCACATCACATTGCCAGCATCGTGTCCACCGTCGTGATCCTTGCTTGCCATGACGTCATGCATGTCAGCGGCATGTCCTACAGTAGACATCTAATTCAGTCAGAGTCCTTCTGGGGTCATTCAATTCGCCAGGGGTAGACAAACACTGGCTCAATTTCGAACGCGCCGAGGGCGTCGGCATCAACATGTTTGTGCAACGCCTTCTTAGGCCCGTTGAGAAAATACGCCAGTCTTGCATTTCCACTACATTGTGTGGACGTTTTTGCAACTTGCGCCTGGGAAGCGGTGTTACGCTTTTTGTGCCGGCCAGACGCAAACGATTTTTTTCAGAAAGCCATGTGCTCAATCTGCAAATGTATGTTTTGCAGAAGTGGTTAATACGGTCTGAAGGAGGCCCTCCAAATACCTTCCAACGTACGCACGCACTCTCCCGAACTGGTATTCCAAATCCTCGCAGCACCAGTGCTTGCGCCAGTGCCCGAAGCGGTGAGCATCAACTGGCCGTCGGGCGAAAACGCGACAGAATTCACCCAATTCCCATGACCCTCCAGCGTGCGAAGGCACTCTCCAGACGAAGCACGCCAGACCTTGGCAGTGCGATCGTGCGAGGCGGTCAATACAGTCAAGCCGTCTGGAGAGAACACTGCAGAGTTCACGTCGCCCTCGTGATCCTCCAACGTGCGCAGACACTCTGCGGATGCCGCGCACCATATCTTCGCCGTGCCGTCGTACGAAGCAGTCAACACACACTGGCCGTCGGGCGAGAATACGGCAGAATCCTAGCAGCCCTTTAGGCTAAGATGGTCTAGTTCTTCCTTCCCTCTTCCCAAAACCCTCTTCCCTTCGGGGAAGGGTACCCTCTCCCTCCCCTCCCTGAGGTTTTGCGGGGGAGTCCGCGAGGGGTTAGAGCGTCCAAGATGGCCCAAGATGGCTACAAGAGGGCGTCCGATGCTCCCAGATGGTCTCAAAGATTGCCCAAGATAGCCGACGATGGTTCAATATTGCTTACGACATACCTCCAAAGGCCCGACGAAGGCCACAAGAACGTTCCAAGTGTTCCCAGAGCCCCCTTGTGACCCCTGCAAAATACCCGAATCCTTCAAAACCGAATGAGAATCACAGACTCTACACCTCTCGCCTTTTCGCTTCCGATGCGCTTCTGAGGTTTCAAAATGGCCCACGGAGAGGCTCAAGATGGGCCCCAAAGCCCCCCCCCATCTGGCTCCAAGAGCGCCCAAGAGCGGCCCAAGAGCGGCCCTAGAGCGCCCCAAGATGTGATTTTGGTGGCCCCATGGGGGGGGAGCAAATCGAGGACACGCCCCCCTTTTTTGATCGATAGCCTCCAATATGACCCCAAGAGGCCCTCCAGGGCTTTCAAGGGACCCACGAGGGCTCCAAGAGGGCCAAACGACCCCCCAAAAGAGCTTTAAGAGGACCCCAAGATCCCCCCCCCAAAATTTCAAGAGAGCTCCACAAGGCGACTTTGAGGGCTCTGCCCTCGTTTTCGTTGTCCTCCTCCTCCTCCTTCTCCTCGCTTCCTCCTCCTCCTCCTCCTCCTCCTCCTCGTCCTTGCTCTCATAAGCTTTCTTTTCCGTTTCCTCTTCTTTCTCGTCGTGGTCGTCGTCGTCGTCGTCGTCGTCGTCGTCGTCGTCATCCTCCTCCATGCGCAGGGGCCATGCCAATCTTCTCTGTATCGTTCCAATTTACACGGATGATCCCCGAAGAAAACCCTGTCGTCGTCGTCCTCCTCCTCCTTCTCCTTCCTTCGCCCCCACACGGATACCGGGATGGCCCGAAGAGGCCTTCCAAGGCCACCCCCTTGCTCCCAGAAGTCTCCGCTTTGTTTCGATACGTGTGTCTCTTCGTCCCTTTTCCCGTCAACTCTCATGGGCAAAGTTTCTGAATGGGCTGGTGGGGAAATTTTTCGTTCGACGGCTCCAAGGACAGCTCCAGGGAGCGGGATTGTCGTCTGGGGCACAAAGCGAGATAATCGGCTGCAGTGGCACGTAAGCCGCTGGAGCAAGTGCACATGCCAGGGCTGGTGGGTTTTTTTTTTGATTGACGGCTCCAGGGACATATCCGAGAAGCGGGACGGGCGCGGCTGGGGCACAGGGCGAGATAATTGGCTACGACGGCGCATAGGCCGACGCAACAAGTGCACTTGCAAAAGGCAAAATGCCCCCCATTAAGATGCGGGCGACCCAGGAGCGGGGACGCAGACATCATACTGAAACGGACGGAAGAGAAGTCGCACTGTGGCGCCAGCTCGAACCGTACTGACCAGCGCGTACTGGCGTGAGCCAAGCTGCGCTGTGGCAGCGCGGGGGGCCCGTGAGGCCGCACCGTCAAACACGATGAGGAGGCGAGAGAGCAAGGAAAGGCGGCGGGTGCGAGAGCACGCGCGGGCGGAAGAGGGGGAGCCGAGGAACGCCTCACTCACTTGGACTCCTGGGCACGATCGAATGCAACCGACCTATGCACGGAGACGTCGACCCAGTCGCGAAGCTGGTGGGGAAACTTTTTTGATTTGCGGCCCGCAAGGAAAAGTCCAGAGGGCGGTGTGAACGAGGCTGGGGCACAGCGCACGATAATTAGCGCGAGAACGCGCGAAATGCACATGCAAGACGATTAGGTGGGAGGCGGCCACAGGTGGGCAACCACAGGCCGGACCCGCAAAGGGGGCCGGACCGAAACCCTGCCGAAGTGCAGCAGAGGCGAATCGGCCACGGACGGGCAGACAGAATACAGGCCGGACCCGCACCTGAGCACCGCGGCAGACAACAGTCAGCGGAGCGCCGCACAATGGCGCCAGCCCCAAACCGGGCGGCGAAGGGCGGGGCGACAGGGGGCGAGAGAGCGGGAGGGGCAGGCGGCGACGGGGAAAAGAAGGGGAGCCAGGCCTCACTCACAGAACACCACACGTGCTGATGCTCAACGCGAAGCCCTCCTGAGTTCGAAGCTGAAGCCAGTGAACCAGGGGCCTGAGGACCTGCGGGCGACGAGGGTATCCGAGCGTGGCCCAGGGCAAGCGACACCGGCGGCCGAGGACCCAACAGAATGAGGATCACGTCCGTCATCGACGATGGGGGGAAGCCACTTAGCATACAGCTGGACTTCAAAGGGTGAAGCACGAGGGGGGCCTTCAGCCAGTTGCCTCTGCACCACGGCCCGCACACAACGCGGGCAAAGAACCTGGGTGGGGTTATTTCAGCCGACCGCAGGAGCGGAAACCCACGGAACGTCGCGGGTATCTGTGCGCACTGTAGTGCCCCTCGAACCCAGGAGGTGGCACAAGTCCGTGGCCAGAGCCATCCACTGCAGGCGGGGACAGATGGGGCGACGCCTTCAGCCAGTCGACCCAGTCCACCACGGGCCGCAACGCGGCCAAACACCGTGGGTGGGGTAATCTAAGCCGACCGCACGGGCAAGGAGCCCACGAGGGCCGTGGGGGTCTAGCGCAGTGTGGGGGGGTGTACCTCACTCCCAGGAGGTAGCGCGGGAAACAAGGCCGCGGCCTGTCACTGCGGCGAAACCATCCCCATCCAAGGGTGGGCCGTCAGTACGTAGCCGCCCAGTGGGAATCCCTCGTCCCAGGGGCCAGCCCCGACTGACGCTACCTGCGTGAGGCGGGGCCCATGATAGCCGCGCCTCTCAGGCACCAGTGCTGTGGCGACGAGGAAAAGGGGGGTTAGCAGCCGATAGCCGCTGGAATTGTATGTAGCTGTGGCGACGAAGAAAAAGGGGGGTAGCAGCCGATAGCCGCTGGACTGGTATGCACTGCAGGCGGGGGCAGATGGGGCGACGCCTTCAGCCAGTCGACCCGGTCCACCACGGGCCGCAACGCGGCCAAACACCGTGTGTGGGGTAATCTCAGCCGACCGCGCGGGCAAGGAGCCCACGAGGGCCGTGGGGGTCTAGCGCAGTGTGGGGGGGTGTACCTCACTCCCAGGAGGTAGCGCGGGAAACAAGGCCGCGGCCTGTCACTGCGGCGAAACCATCCCCATCCCAGGGTGGGCCGTCAGTACGTAGCCGCCCAGCGGGAATCCCTCGTCCCAGGGGCCAGCCCCGACTGACACTGCCTGCGTGAGGCGGGGCCCATGATAGCCGCGCCTCTCAGGCACCAGTGCTATGGCGACGAGGAAAAGGGGGGTTACCAGCCGATAACCGCTGGAATTGTATGTAGCTGTGGTTACGAGAATAAAGGGGGGTAGCAGCCGATATATTAGCCGGACTTGTAGGCATCAGGGCCCAACAGGCGGAGACCGAAGAGGACCCAACACGTGTAGTTGCCACGTCGGGTGGGGGAAAGCCACTTAGCATACAGCTGCACTTCAAAGGGTGAAGCACGAGGGGGGCCTTCAGCCAATTGCCTCTGCACCACGGCCCGCACTCAACGCGGGCAAAGAACCTGGGTGGGGATATTTCAGCCGACCGCAGGAGCAGAAACCCACGGAACGTCGCGGGTATCTGTGCGCAGTGTAGTGCCCCTCGAACCCAGGAGGTGGCACAAGTCCGTGGCCAGAGCCATCCACTGCAAGCGGGGACAGATGGGGCGACGCCTTCAGCCAGTCGACCCTGTCCACCACGGGCCGCAACGCGGCCAAACACCGTGGGTGGGGTTATCTCAGCCGACCGCGCGGGCAAGGAGCCCACGAGGGCCGTGGGGGTCTAGCGCAGTCTGGGGGGGCGTACCTCACTCCCAGGAGGAAACACGGGAACCAAGGCCGCGGCCTGCCACTGCGGTGAAGCCATCCCCATCCCAGGGTGGGCCGCCAGAACGTAGCCGCCCAGTGGGAATCCCTCGTCCCAGGGGCCAGCCCCGACTGACACTGCCTGCGTGAGGCGGGACCCATGATAGCCGCGCCTCTCAGGCACCAGTGCTGTGGCGACGAGGAAAAGGGGGGCTAGCAGCTGATAGCCGCCGGACTTGTATGTAGCTGTGGCGACGAGGAAAAGGGGGGTAGCAGCCGATAGCCGCTGGACTTGTATACATCAGGGCCCAACAGGCGGAGACCGAAGAGGACCCAACACGAGTAGATGCCACGTCGGGGGGGGGGGGCAGCCGATAGCTGCAGAGCATTTGAATAAGCCACTTGGCGTACAGCTGGACTTCAAAGGGTGAAGCACGAGGGGGGCTTTCAGCCAATGCCTCTGCACCACGGCCCGCACTCAACGCGGGCAAAGAACCTGGGTGGGGTTATTCCAGCCGACCGCAGGAGCAGGAACCCACGTCAACGTCGCGGGTGTCTATGCGCAGTGTGGTGCCCCTCGAACCCAGGGGGTGGCACAAGCCCGTGGCCAGAGCCATCCACTGCAGGCGGGGACAGATGGGGCGACGCCTTCAACTGTCGACCCGGTCCTCCACGGGCCGCAGCGCGGCCAAAAACCGTGGGTGGGGTTATTTCAGCCGACCGCACGGGCTAGGAACCCACGAGGGCCGTGGGGGACTAGCGCAGTGTGGGGGGGTGTACCTCACTCCCCGGAGGTAGCACGGGAACCAAGGCCGCGGCCTGTCACTGCGGTGAAACCATCCCCATCCCAGGGTGGGCCGTCAGTAACGTAGCCGCCCAGTGGGAATCCCTCGTCCCGGGGGCCAGCCCCGACTGACACTGCCTGCGTGAGGCGGGACCCATGATAGCCGCGCCTCCCAGGCACCAGTGCTGTGGCGACGGGGACAAGGGGGGGTAGCAGCCGATAGCCGCTGGACTTGTATGTAGCTGTGGCGACGAGAAAAGGGGGGTAGCAGCCGATAGCCGCTGGACTTGTATGTAGCTGTGGCGACGAGGAAAGGGGGGTAGCAGCCGATAGCCGCTGGACAGGTAAGCACCAGGAGGCGGAGCCCTCGAGGACGACACCTCCCGGCCACGGGAAGAAGTCCTGCAAGATGTACCCGATGGCGGCCCACATGGCGGCTCGGCTCTCCGGCCGCTGTCCGGGATGGGTTCGGGCACCCCCAGGACGCTCACGGCGAGGTGCCTCTCAGGCACCAGTGCAGTGGCGAAGAGACAAAGGGGGTAGCAGCCGATAGCCGCTGGACTTGTATGTAGCTGTGGCGACGAGGAAGAGGGGGGTAGCAGCCGGTAGCCGCAGGACAGGTAAGCACCAGGAGGCGGAGCCCCCGAGGACGACACCCCCCGGGCACGGGAAGAAACCCTGCACGATGTACCCTATGGCGGCCCACATGGCGGCTCGGCTCTCCGGCCGCAGTCCGGGATGGGTTCGGGCGGGCACCCGCTGTTTTTTTTGTTTTGTTTTGTTTTGTTTTGTTTTGTTTTACCGCCGCAGGCGGAAGCGCCAGCGGCAGGCGGTCACGGTCGGGCTGCGGCCGCGACTAGAGAGCGGGCGCGCGCGGGGCCGCGGTCAGGCGGCAGGCAGCAGCGACCCAGGGCGTCTGAGCCAAGGCGTGCATATCCAGGGAGTCTGCAGGGCAGCCCCTGAAAGGAACATGCAACGGCGCATCCAGGGAGTCTGACCACAGGCACCGAGGAAGCAGAGCGCAGCCAAAATGGCGCGTAAGGCGTTCCCAACAGTTCGAGTACGAACGGGTAGGGAACGGTCCCGAGCGGGACGTCAATCCAGGGAGTCTGACGGGTAGGCACAGACTGACTGGTGCCACAGTCCAGCGGGGAAACCCTGACGGCGGAAGCGGACCACCGCGACGTCAGAACACGCATCCAGGGAGTGGAAACAAATCTGGTGGGGAAACGCGAAGCGTCAAGAATTCACATTATCATCATGACCCTTCAACGTCCGTAAACACTCCCCCGACAATGTTGACCAAATCCGTGCCGTGCGGTCGTCTGACGCCGTGAGTGCTCTGTTGCCGTCTGGCGCGAACATGACAGAATTCACCCAGTACTCGTGGCCTCTCAATGTGTGCAAACACTCGCCAGACTCGGTAGACCAGACCTTCGCGGTGTTGTCGTTCGAGGCGGTCAGCGCCAGTTGCCCTTCGGGCGAGAACGTGGCAGCATTCACCCAATCCCGATGTCCCTCCAGGGTGCGCAAACACTCTCCAGACTCCGCAGACCAAATTCGCCGACCCCTTGGGCACGGGCGTGTGAGCCCGCTCCCACTCTCCCAACCCCTCCCCGTGGTGGTCGATGTGCGCATTTTGTCATGGTGGCGGTGCTGCTCCGAGAAGGGCAAGGAGGCGACAGCCTTGGGCCGTCCAGACTTGCTCCGGGCGGCGCGAAATTGCCTGGCCAGGCCAAGCGGCACGATCCTACCAGCAGAAGCCGTCTGGACAGCCCAAGATGGTCCCAAGACGACCTACATGGCACCGTGGAGCACGCGAGAGGTTACGCGAGAGGCCTCAGAGGAGGCATCCCAACATGGACTCACGAGTGCCGAAGAGGGCCCAAGACGGCCCAAGGGTGCCCTAAGAATTTCCCCAGACGGTCCACGAGGGTGCGAGCAGGGCCTTCAGAGAGCCCCAAGACGGGCCAAAGGGGCCGCCGAGACGCCGCGGAGACTGGCCTAAATGGCCGGCAGATAGGGTAAGGTTTATACTTCCATTTTCTTTCGGCCCCACGTTGAGAACCGACGTCTGCAAGGCCCTCCGAAGCCTAAGCTTTGACAAACAAATTCGGAATATGCGGTGTCAGACCCGCGAATTTTTGCCGTGCTGTCGTACGAAGCGGTGAGCACCTTGTCGCCATCAGACGAGAACGCAGCAGACCACACAACGCTCTTATGGCCCTCCAGTGTGCGCAGACACTCCCCGGACTCGCTGGACCAGATCTTCGCCATGCGATCCGAGGCGCTGATGATGTCGTGCGGTGGCAGTTCAACAAGGGTCAGCACCGCACCTTTCTCAGCGCCGATCTCGCCGAGGGTCATGTTCCCCAGCAACTCTTCGCCTCCTAAGAAGATGCGCTTCCAACTCGCCGGTGCTGCCGCTCGCTCGGGGATCGCTGCGAGAACGTCGCGCAACTGCCAGGCGGGACTCGCATCGAAAGCCACGAGTTCCCGGCCGCTGCAAGCCAGCACGGACAAGTGCATCTTGCGTCAGCAAAGGTGGCCACGCGTTGACCAACCAACAGACGCCACTGAAACTTGAGTGGGAACTGCTACAGAATCCGACGACGGATGGTGACGATGACCACGCGATGGTCATGTACGGTGGTGACGTCGATCTTGATGACGACGTCGATGACGTTGTTGGCGATGATGTGGTGTGATGTGGTGAAGATGGTCGTTGCGTTGAACTCTGATTTCTGGGAAATTATGTCACCATGACGCCAACAATGAATGGAATGTCCTCAGGTCCCTTCGGATTCCTTGTGTCGTGCACCGTGAAGCAACGCAAGTTCCAAGGGGCCCAAAACTCCGAACCATGTGCGCTCTGAGGCGTTCCTGCGAATTCCCCAAGCCTCGCCAGCAGAATTTGGAATCCGCACTTCCACGATGGCCTAAGCTGGTCCCAGGGCCTATCCTGGAGCCCTGTCGGGGGCCTCTTCGGCTGTCCTGCAGGTCTTTGGCGCCGGCCCAAGGAACCTAAATTCGGGCGTTGATTAATGGGGGGGAAACGCGCACCTTTCGTGCCGCTCTTGGGCCCTGGGGAGCCCTTTGAAGGACTCTGTTGGACGTAAAAGATACACTTTTCTTCACCCCTCATTTGTCGCACCTCCATTACTCGACGCCCGACAAATCACAGAACAACGTAACACTTTTCACGGTACGATACACGAGTTCTGCATTTCTTTCCCACCCGCGGGTCCTTCATTCCGTGTCCTTACAAACAACTCCTCCGTGTCGCACCTGCGAACGTTTCGGTAAGGCGGTCTGGGCGTATCGCCTGAGACTTCCTCATCGTTAATACTGGTGAAACTGGATATTTCCAACAATTTCATGGACGGATGGCGGAATAAAAAGTATCCTTCTCGATGGACATGCATCATGTAAGACGTATGGGATGTGTCGTAAGGAAGACGGGTGTACGATAGAAGATGGGAATGCTCCCCGCAACTAGCGAACACAGAGAGTCCAAACCGTGCCTTTCGGCAACTGCTTGGCGGGCGAAGATCGGGACTCAATCAACATTTCCGCCATGGGGGGCGCCAGCGCCAGGCCGGCTGGAACGTTTATGCCCCGACGTGCCACCGTCGGAGCAAGCGCAGTAGGCGGCTGCTCGTCGACCCTTTCGCCCTGCCGCGGCGGCGCTGACCTCTTGGCTGCTGCGGCGGCCGGCGGGGCGGAGCCCCCCGCCGCGGCCTCGGCGCCAGCAGGCCTCTGAGCGGCGACTCGCGCCGCCGTGGGCAGGAGGGGCACCTGGCCCGCCGCGGCGCGGCCTCGGCCGCACCACGGGCACGCTGCGCGGCGGCTCCGGTTCGATGTGGAGCCCGCGCTGCCTGGAGGCCGCGCGAGCCCGCGTCGTTTCCGAGAGGCTGCGAGCCAGCGCCCGCGGCGGGCGCGCCGGAGGCGGGCCGAGGAGCGGCAGCGCCGCCGCCAGCGCTGGTTCGCGACGCGGCGTCTGCTGCTGCGCTGCTGCACGGGGCGCGCTGCCCGTGCGCCGCGGCAGCGTTGTCGAAGACACTCGACGGCCTGGCCAGACCAAGTGCGAACGGAGGAAAGGCCGCGCTCGTTGTCGAAGGGGCCGTGATTGTCGAACGACATCGTGCCTTGCGTGCGCCCCGCGGGTGGCAACCTCGCCAGAACAGCAGGGGCCAGTCGACAAACGACTGGTCGCCAAGCTTACGTCTCCTCCTCTCTTGTGCTCCATGCTTCACAACGCTCGCGCCATACCGAAGCAACTTTTCGTCTGGCCTGCTGAGCAATGCGCTCGGGAAGCCTAGAGCCATCAACGAATCGCTACTCAAGGCTTATCACCGCAATGCCTCGAGCCCCGTGCAATCCTACACTGCTTTCGCGAAGCCAACCCTCTTCTCAACACCCTGTGGTTCTGACTGTCGGCGCTCGACTTGAAGCCCGGCGGGAATCCCTCCTCCGTGCTTCACCAGCGGCGGCCACTTCTCACTTTGCACCTTCTGGCGTTCGCCCAGCTGCTTCCTTCAGGGCTGCGCAGAAGGGGCCCGCGCTCTCCCCAGTCGAGCTGCCCAGGCGGATTCCCAATCTTATCTTCCCAGGGGAGGGCTGTCGCGCGGACGAGTGGGCGTGCGCGGCGTCGAATGAGATTAGACCGTCCATCCCTGCGTGTTTGCGCCACCCTGCGTTGCCACGTGACGAGTGGAGTAAAGTAGAAAACTTTCCGTCCACTGCGTTGCCCAGTGACGAACGAAATTTCACATTAGGTTGGCCGCCTCCCTGCGATGCCATTTGCCGAATATATACGGAGTGATATGTGTTTCACTTCCTCCCTGTGCGTTGCGATTTGACGATGGTCGCATGATGACACATGCTCCGCCTCCTGCGCTGCCACGTAACGAGTGGAGTTGACGATTATTATGTTTTCCGCCGCCCTGCACGGCAATGCGACGAGTAGTATGCAATCTTATTCTTGTGCTCCTTCGCGATACTGCATGTCGGGTCGAATAGAATAGTGCTTCGTTCCGCCTCCTCTGCTTTGCCATGTGAAGAATACAATAGACCCATATGTTTCCGCTCACCCTGCGTTGCCATATGACGAGCAGAACCAAGTGCGATTTGTTTCCGATCCCGGGGTTGCCACGCGACTACAAGAGTAGAGTAATGTTATATGCCCACCTCCTTGCGATGCCACGCGGCGAGTAAAACGTATAACATATTTGCCCGCCCACTTGCGGTACCATGCAACGAGTCGAGTAGACTAGGATGTTTCCACCCCCTGAATTGCAATGTGAAGAGTAGCGTAGAATACTATTGTTTCCCGCCTCCCTCATTGCCACGTGAAGGTTGGAATAATATTTGTTCTGGTCCGTTGAGACGCCACTTGACGAGCACTAGTATAATCACGCTTGCCCGTCTCTTTCGGGTGCCATGTGACGAATGGAATAGAGCAACATCTTTTCTGACCCCTGTAATGCCATGTGGCGAATGGAACTGAAGCATCTGTTTCCGGTCAACCAACTGGGCAGCCAACACGGCAACCTCGCAACTGGGCAGACAACCAGCCGTCCAACCAACCCCAACCCCAACCAACCAACCAACCAACCAACCGATCGGACAACCAACCGACCAACCAAACGACGAACCGACAAGCCAACCAATCGGCCAGCCAATCGGACAATCGGCCAAATGGCCACCCACATCTTCCGAATAACTCCATCTGTCATGTAGCTCCCAAATCTCCTGGAACAAATACAAAGAGGTAAAACTTGAGCCCCACTGAATTGTTCTATTGAGCCTGCTCCCGAGGAGGAGGAGGAAGAGGAGGAAGAGGAGGCGGAAAACCAGACGCAGGAGCAGGAGCAAGCGGCGGATGAGGAAAAGGTGGGGGACGAGAAGGAGGACCCGTGGACGAGAAGGATGAGCATGAACCGAGGAAGACGAGGATGATGATGAGGAGTAGGAGTAAAGACTAGGAGGGCGATCGACAAGACTTGGACGAACGATAAAGGAGGACGAGGAGTGAGGAGGGGAATTAAGTGAGGGTTCAGGAGAGGACCACAACTATGACAGGGCTCAGCGGCGATGAGCTCTGCTCAACGGATCTAGGCGGCACAGCTGCGAAGAGCGCAACTTCTACAATATCTATCCTCCACAAATGCGCCCGGTTGCAAGCACCTCCCCAAACCTCCAGCGCATATATTTTTCCAATCTGTGGAGCCTCAGAAATTCCACCAGCCCTCTGGGCGTAGGTGGTTTAGGGCGCTTCCTCTTCCACCCCTCCCTCCCTCCCTTCGGGGCAAGGGTTTATCACTGTTCCCTATTAATCAACACCCCCTCCCCCGGGCGACTGGGGGCCAACCAGGGGTCCGACAATGCACAGCCTCCAAATTGAACATGCGCAGCCAACCCGATGCGGCCCCCCCACAGATGCGGCGGCTGCGGCGGCGGCGGCAACTTGGCGGCGGCGGCGGCGGCGGCTGCGGCGGCGGCGGCGGCGGAGGCGGCGGTGGCGGTGGCGGCAGCGGCTGCGGCGGCGGTTTGGCAGCGGGGGGCGGCGGCGGCGGCGGCGGCGTCGTCCGCGGCGGCGGCGGCGGCGGCGGCGGAGGCGGCGGCGGCGGCGGCGGCGGATTGCCCCCCAGTAGCTGCCCATCCAATTATCCCGGCAAAGCAACCTAACAGCGATGTGTAGGAGCATATCTGGAAGCATTCCCCTTAAGATTCAGATAAGAATCCTGTTGTAGAATTCTGCTGTTCTCGCAGTCGTGGTCGCATTCGCGATGGCAGTCGCAGTGGCAACAGCAGTCGCAGTCACAGCCTCAGCCTCAGCCTGCCTCAGCCTCAGCCTCAGCCTGCCTCAGCCTCAGCCTGCCTCAGCCTCGCCCTCAGCCTGCTTCAGCCTCAACATCAGTCTGCCTTCAGCCTCGGCCTCAGCCTGCCTCAGCCTCACCCTCAGCCTGCATCAGCCTCAGCCTGCCTCAGCCTCGCCCTCAGCCTGCTTCAGCCTCAACATCAGTCTGCCTTCAGCCTCGGCCTCAGCCTGCCTCAGCCTCACCCTGCATCAGCCTCAGCCTCAGCCTCAGCCTGCCTCAGCATCAGCCTGCCTCAGCCTCAGCCTCAGCCTGCCTCTGCCTCAGCCTCAGCCTGCTTCAGCCTCAGCCTCAGTCTGCCAGCG